CCATTCTACCTCTATATGTTATTTCATATTTTATCAAACGTTAAACATGAGGTCCATTTCGGCGTCAGCCAAAGTGTTCTCAGGATTCGGTTAGAGGAATATAATTCTACCATGAAGTCTGGAATTTTATATATAACCTTATTCCCTTATTATATAGGACACATTACAAAAACAGTGAGTTACATTATTTATACGTAGGTAACTCTGTCTACCCCTTCTGGTTTGATGCATTATAAACATCTGGCTTTAAGCTATGATATATTATGAGCATTAGTTGAATAGAACAGATTTTCATTTTATATAAACTTACATGACACTTTCTATAGGTGTTAAAGAGGTTATTACGACAAACCGTCACACTCAACATTTCCCTCAATTAAGTATTAGGTAGTACTACCTACATATAAAAACCAACCGTACCCAGGAGCCAAAGCTAGTATATTTATAAACCGATTACGTAACGTTTTCACTTTAGTTATTATCCTTTTAAAGCGTAAATCTCGTTACAGTCCGTCATGGGCGCGTCAAGATGTATCGTCGGTGACAAAAGTGTTCGAAATTATTTTAAACTTGTATACCGGCAGATGAGCCAGGAAAGTCCTTAAGTGGAGACCACGGACCAGAAGACGAAGCGTGGGCAGGCCTCCTGCTAGGTGGACCGACGACATCGCCAGAGTTGCGGGGAGCCAGTGGATGCGGGTGGCGAGTTGTCGTTCGACGTGGAGGACTAAGGGGAAGGCCTTTGTCCAGCAGTGGACGTCTTCGGACTGTTGATGATAATGATGATGATGATGATGATGATACCGGCTGTAACTTAGTAACTATTTTTAAGTTTATTAACTATTTTATGGAATTTTATTTAATATCATTATAATATAACTAAAATATTTACACCTTAAAATATACTTACGACTTAAAATACAAAAAAAAACAACTAGAAACTAAAATTTCCTCTACACCTTAAAAATACTTAGTTAGTTTCAGTTCTATTTATATATCAACAATTAAAGCTTATAATTTAAACAATATTATTATTTAAAAAAAAAACAAAAGAATAACACGATGTTACTTGTTAATTCTGAAAGGAAAGCATAGGTATATATATATATACAAGTACAATCTAGTTTGAGATGTTCTTTTGGCCAGTTATATCAATATACACCAGACATTATACATTATAAAATTTGGAATCTGAAGAGAATGATATGTGTTGATATTGAGAAATATGTATAGTATCGAGATCGAGAAAATCGACCAAAAACGATTTATCTATACAACTTGAGGCTCCTTGCTTATCAGTTTCAATTACGATGACTTAACTAACGAAGCAGTCGCTATATCAAACCCAAAAAGGTCTACGAACGTCTTCAAATTTTTTCTTGACATTCAAAAATGCCTTTCTGGGTGCTTACTCTCGAAATCAATCTCAATGTCAATGCAATTTCAATCTAATAAAATCTCAATAATTATTCAATGTCAACACTATACAACCCCTATCGTAGCTGTTAAAATAGCATTCGGAGTACGGAATGTATAGTCAAAATCAGTACCATTTAGTTCATTCAATATCCACACAATACGGATGCAATGGGCGCTAGTGTTGCAACTCAAGAGTACGAAATTTCACAATACCAATGTCGATCGATCGGAATTGGATTCAAGAGTAAGCCCCCTGGTCTAATTGAAATAAATAAATTTGACTTTGACTATAAACACCAATCTCAATTAAAACCGACAATATTCTGTTACGAACATTAAAAAACAAAACATAAGCACTTGTGTACTAGCCTGTACCATAGCGGTGAAAATGACAAAGCATTTGACGCGATCATAAAATATAAGTCCCGGGTACACTGATGAATACCCGGCTTACAGCGGACAGTGATAGGACACCGCAGTGTAGACGCGCCTTAATTATTACATTTCAAGTGGTTTTTGTCAGTTGTTCTATGTTTTATGTGAAAATGAAAGCTTTTTATAGTGATTTGTAATTTTTCCGTAAAAATTGTTAATAAAAAGTTTAATTGAAACATTTAAACACAAAATCGGTTAAAAATACTAACTCTATTGTATCATTGCTACAATATGGGGTTCTTTAGGAGCAAACAGATATTTACATAACATAACATCACGCCTTTTATCCCCGAAGGGGTAAACAGAGGTGTACATTATGCCACTGTACAATGTAACACCCACTTTTCACTATTTATGTTATGAGTCCCATGTAATAGGGGGTGAGCCTATTGCCATATACCGGGCACATTTCCAGACTCCGTGCTACTACTGAGATTTTTACTTGTTATCTTTACTCTACCGCAAAGCCTGAAGACGAAAGTCTTCAACGAGTGCGTCCTACCAGTCATGACATACGGAGCCGAGACGTGGACACTAACAGTGCGACTGGTCCACCAATTTAAGGTAGCGCAGCGAGCTATGGAGAGGGCTATGCTCGGAGTATCTCTGAAGGATAGGATCCGTAACGAGGTGATCCGACAGAGAACTAAAGTTACCGATGTAGCCCAAAGGATTAGCAAGCTGAAATGGCAGTGGGCCGGTCACATTTGTCGAAGAACCGATGACCGCTGGGGTAGATGTGTTCTGGAGTGGAGACCGCGTCTAGGCAAACGTAGTGTAGGGCGCCCTCTAGCTAGGTGGAGTGGCGATATACGTAAAATGGCTGGTAGTGGTTGGATGCGTAGAGCTGAAGACCGAGCTCAGTGGCGTGCCATTGGAGAGGCTTATGTCCAGCAGTGGACGAAAACAGGCTGATGATGATGATGATGATGACTTTGCCCGACCCGGGAATCGAACACAAGGGGATCGTATATATTTATGTAATTATATTTCATGTATTGATTCAGTGCATGCTGATTTTGAAATATGTTGTCTTAGGGGTTGTCCATTAATCACGTGATCTTTTTTTAGCATTTTTTACCCCCATTGGTGATACGTAGTGAGGTTTAAGACCACCTCTCCTCCCCCCTCAACATCACGTGTATTTTTAGTACTTACAAAGAATTTTAAAACA